TGGAATCTGTCAGCTGGTGCGAACCAAAGCTACTGATGTTTGCTACATAGGGTGCATGATTTTAATTCAGTTTTCTAAAATTGTTTATAAAGATGCTGCACATGTTAAGGCTATGTAGCCACAGCGTCATGAGCCGATTCCAAAACTAAAACCATACAGCAAAGTCTTTACCACAAGTGATATGCCACATTACAGTTGCGAATGGTGAAATCTCCCTATCAACATATGCAGATATCCTTAAGGGCATGAAAAGAGCATAAGGTGCCTTTATTTAGTTATAAAAAAAAACAGCTGCAGGCAGAAAATATACAATAACAATTGCAAAACAGTAAAACTTGTTGGCAAGCATTGGGCCAGAGCAATCTTGATTTTGACTACAGTTTGCAAGTATAAACAAAATAATTATAACTAGGGGATGAAGGCTCGAAGGAAGGAATTTATGATCTTTGATGGATGAGGCGAGGCTAGATATCTATACAAGTTAGTGCAACATAAAGCTAAACATGATAATGGGAGTTATCGATATGAAACGAATTTGTACTGGATAAACTTACAAGACAAGCTTTCAGCATCATCATCAAGCTCAGCGCTCGAGGACTTTCTGTCATTCTTTGTAAATACTACTTCTCCATACTTTTTCATCAAATCATCAAACATCTCATCAGTGTCCTCATTCACATTCTGCAAAAAGTATCACTTCGTAAGGATGCAACATAATATTCGAGGAACAAAAAGAACATTGTTAATGGATGGATGTATGACTATACTGTACAGCATAGATACCGCACTAGAATTACATAAACATGTCCAGAAGGTGCAAACCATTAACAGAAATAAATTACATTTGATTATCATGTAAATATTACTAATAGAAACAAAATCAATGTATCCAAGAGTACATTTTTGCTTTATAATACGTTCCAAAGCAAAAGCCAAGCAGCAAAAGTTACAGCCAAATGGAGCAGGAATTTCTCCAGCTTTAATAACACTATGAAAAACTGCAAATACGTAGCAAAAATCTTCTCATATCCTCAAAGGTTCACCGAAAAATTAAAATTTGAAACTTTAAATTTCCAAAACATGAACTTCAAAAGCAAAACATAAGCTGCTTAATTTCTGTCATTTAAAGGTAACCAAATGGAGAAAAAAGAGACCCGTACCGAGAGATAGGCATCGTCTGCTTCTTTTCCATAGGCATAAAGTGAAGGCAGCAAACTTCCTCTTGGGTTGAAATTCAAGGTTTTGATTCTGAAGCGGAGCAAATGGAGGTCGTTAAGGCATAACCACCGAAAATGACTTCTGGGTTTTTGAAAGAGCTTGGATTCGTTAAGCTCCCACCGCCGGAGCTGGCCGGAGAACACGTTGCCGCCTATGGATAGTGCGGTGGTTGTAGACACTGCCATTTTCTTTTATCTTCTCTGTTTCTGATAAGAGTGAGACAGCCTGAGAGGGCAAGTAATTCGCTAGATCTTTTCTATATGGGCTTTTACACGTAAGATATTTCAGAAATATATATACACACTGTTTTCAATTACATGTTATATTATAAAAATTATCATACAGTATAGTAATATTTTTTAATAAATTAAAATAAACTTAATTTAATTATATTATATTAATATAAAATTTTAAATTAAAGTCAAAATATAAATTTTAAAATATAAAACATTAATCTTAAAATTATAAATTTTAAACTCTAAATATAATGCATGACATTTTTTTTTACATAATTATATAAATTTTAGTCTATAAAATATGTGTATCATATAATTTTTTTACTAAATATTAGTTTAATATAGGATAAAAATATTTAACATATCTACCATCCAAATAATTAGTTATTTAATTAAAAATATATATAACAAATAAACTTATATAAAAAACATATTATTTTTAAAATAATTCTGTTAAAAATAACAAAAATTAATAAATATTTAAAGAAATTTATGATATGAGAAATGTGAACATTTAGATGTAAGAGTAACCGTCTCTTTAAAAATTTTAATTTCTATACAATTTAAATAATTTTTACTCATTTAACGTTCTTAAATCTATATATAATTAAAAAGTTTCCCATTATGAAAGTCGAATCTAACTACATGTATGTTGTGGTGGTGATCAATCGATAGCTATTTTATTTTAATCTGTTTAATTTGTTGCACTACAAGATTTGTGTTTTCATATGATTCTGGTAACTTTTGGTTTTTTTCTTTCCACCGGCTGAAATAGCAGCCTTTGTTCTTGATGAAATGCTACCTGGAGACATAAGCACCGTCCGGTGAAGTTGCTGCTTAGTTAGTTGTTTTATTTCCCTCTTTCGTTAAAGAGTAGATGTGTAATATCTTTTTCGTTAAAGAGTAGATCATTTAATAATTTCTCAGAAGTTTGGAGACTACAATGTAATTATTTAAAAGTCGGAGGGCTAAGTTGCATAACTAGTCATTAATCAAAGTATTATACTTTTAAAAACTCTTAACTTCATCTTTTTTTTTTTATAATTAAGACATCATCAGGGACTAAATGGCTACTCATAACTAATTTTAGGGTTTTAAAAATAATATTTCTCATTTTATGTAGGAAGTTTACTGCGGTGAGAATTTTGAACTCTATCCTAAAGTTTTGAAACTTGGACTGAGGTATCTAGATCCCAAAACTTTCTAAAACAAAGTTTAAGAACTTATCTAAAGAGTTTCGAAGTTCACTAGATCAAATTTTGAAATGGGACAATAAGTTTGAAAAGAATCATGAATACAAAAGGGTCTTCGGCGAAGCAATGGCCTGTAACACTAGGGTAGTTATGAAAGAGGTTCTTAAGTATTACAAAGATGGATTCAATAATGTTGGAACAATCGTTGATGTCGGAGGAGGATCGGGAGATGCAGTGGCCGAAATCGTCAAGGCACATACTCATATTAAGGGTTATAACTTTGATCATCCGAATGTAGTGGCTGGTGCACCCAAATACCTCAATGTCAGCCATGTCGGAGGTAACATGTTCGCTACTATTCCCATTGACGCTGATGCAATATTTCTCGAGGTATGTACGTTATGCACATATATTTGATACACTGATAACACATAAATTAGATTTTGACAAGTAATTGATGTAGTGTATATTGCACAACTGGATCGACGTACGAGAAATCCATGGATCCTGAAGAATTGCAGGAAAGCTTTATAAGAGAAAAAGGGGGAAGTTGGTAATAGCGGAAGCTGTTCTTCGTCCGGAAAGCGAAAGCCTTTCCGATGTCAAAGCACATTGGTATGACTTAAAGATGATGGTTATTTCTCCAAGCGGAAAGGAAAGAAGCTACAGAAATGAGGAGGTTTCTCCCGTTACATTATCATCAACATCCCTTCTTTTCTATCAATCATTGAAGCCTTCCCTTCATAACTATATATATATATATATATCACTTGCTGCTGTGGTGATCGATCGATAGCAATTTTATTTTAATCTGTTTAATGTGTTGCACTATGAGATTAGTGTTTTCATATGGTTTTGGTAACTACTGCTGTTACCTGCAGGAACCAGAAAGGAAACCAGTGACATTTATATGAGAAATAACAATTTTTTTGAATTAAAATTATTTTTGGTGCTTTGAAAATTTTGAATAAAGAGTCACTGAAGAAAGGAATTTTAACTTATGTGATTGTCGGACGTATATTTTGCTATTTTTATTATTTATTATTCATTTCTCTTAGAATTTACGTCTACCCTGTCACCAATACGTAAATTATGTATGATCAGAATTTTTATCTTGATATCTGATGTATTAAACTTATCATTTATGTTAACTAATGATGATATCCCCTATCACCAAAACGAAACCGAAGGAATAGATAGATGACTAAATACTTAGTTTACCCAAAAAGGTGAATCATCCATATAGTCACAAAATTATTGGGTTGTTTCTATTCTAACCATTAAATTATAAGTAAATGATAAAATTAGCTCTCAACATTTTTTCAAATAATCATTTGCCCCCTATTTTGAAATATTTTAGCAATCAACATTTTAATTTTTGTCAAAATAGGCCATGTTGTATGAAAATTGTTACTTAACTAATAGTCAATGCACGTTATTGATATGACAATTTTACATGTGCTTAATTGATAGTATTTTACATGTTATATTATCACTTTGGATGATGTAACACATGATATATTATCACTTTGAGTGATGTGACACATTACACATCAACAATTAAACACATGTAGAATATTACATTAACCAGATACAACGACCGTTAGTCAAGTAACATTTTTCCATCCAATGCTATTTTGATCAAAAATTAAAAAGTTTATCTAAAATGCTAAAAAAAATTATAACCAATTTGATCATTTAAACAAAATTTGTGGACTAATTTTATTACTATGTCAAAATTATATTGCTTGTTAATATTTAAGATAAATATTTTTTTTTGGCTGCTCTCCTGATTTCAGGGTTATGCCTTAACTAATCCAGGTCAACTCACGTTGCACACTTGACTTTGGTGGGTGAATCTCCCACCAGAGATTTTCTATATACACTCAAGACCTTGCTTTAAGCAATATCAAGTTGCTTACCACTTTAATCGACCCCTATTAGTGTTATCATTATTTATATTTTTTAGACAAATTATATTGCTTGTTAATTTTGTTAATAAATTTGTATAATTATATTTTCGATCATCATTATTTATATATTTTATTTATATATTTTATTAATTTAAATGATAATATATGTTATCATCCTATTAAAAAATTATCTGTTATTTTTAATTTAATTAATTCAATAATTTTTTTTCCTAATCAGATGATAAATATCATTATTTGGTTAGAGGGAAAAATATGAAAATGAAAATGACACCAAAGATAACCAAACTGTGGAAAATTAAAGACGACACTGAGAGAATCAATTGTCTGTAATATTAAGTGAAAATTTTATGAAATATATTCAAAATAATCAAATTACTTCTCTATCCACAAATCTAATCTAAAATTGAAAACAATTAATTTACTTTATTTTAATTTGTTTTTGTAAATTTATTTCTAACCCGAACCAAACCCTAAATAAACCCCACCATCCAGCCTTGCCACCTCTACTGCATGTCCCTTTTTGTTTTCTCTCTCTTTCAGTTTTCGTCCTTAAATTCCAAATCTTCTTCTTTAATCTATGACAGTTGAAGCTTCGCATCTCGACCTCTTCTCTCCTCAATTCTTAGCTACCAGGTTTGATTTTAAGGTCGAAACCCATTGCTCAGAATATTCAGATTCAAATAACCCTTTAACGTCTCTTGCATTTTCCAGGGAATTGATGAATCCCATTGAAGCAAACTGGAATATGTTTGAAACCCAGATGGGATATGGAGTTCCATTATCAACGACGGCGGCAACACAAGGATTGCTTCCTTTGTATAACTCTTTGGTTACCGATCAAAAGACTGTTGCACCGGCGATCAAATCGGAGAGTACTTTGACGTGCAACAATCGTCCATTGAAGCGTTCTAGAGACTCGTTTCAACGGCGACTTCATAACATCAACGATATTTCCTTTCATATGGAGCAGCAACAGTTTGATATTGATCGCCTTATCTCTCAACATGTAAGCCTTTCTTTAAGGATTTAATTGTTTTCTTAATCGGTTGAAATCCAGAAAATTGCATGTTTCGAATTTGTTGGATTTTGGGTTTTTATTTTATTTTATTTGGTGTAGATGGAGGAAATGAGGACGGAAATAGAAGAGAAAAGGAAGTGGCAGGCGCAGAAAATAATGGAAGCCATTGAAGAAAGAGTAACGAAGAAACTAAGAGGCAAAGATGAGGAAATCGAGAAAATTGAGAAATTAAATTGGGCGCTTGAAGAAAGGGTGAATTCACTTTGCATAGAGAACCAAATATGGCGAGACTTGGCTCAAACCAATGAGGCCACCGCCACCGCCCTCCGGTCTAACCTAGAACAAGTCCTTGCAGCGGCGGCGCAGCAGGTCAAGGTCGGCGAGAGAAACCCTTGCGTCGGATTAGAAACGACTGCCATGGCGGATGAGGTTGACGATGCGCAATCATATTGCGACAGCAGTTGGGAGGTGGAGAAATGCACGTTCTTGGGAGCGGCGGGTTCCGGCAAGAAGAATGGAGACGGCGGCACGCTATGCCGGAACTGTGGGGAGGAGGAATCCTGTGTGTTGCTGTTACCGTGCAGGCATTTGTGCTTGTGTACCGTTTGTGGGTATCGCCTTCACATTTGTCCGATTTGTGAATCTCCAAAAAACGCAATCCTTCATATTAAAATGTCGTAAAAAAACGATACATCCAACCCAATTTTTTGTAATTAATTAATGCATGTATTTACGGCGTTTAATTATATTTATATAATTACTTTATATAATAAAATAATAAAATATTTTATATCAGTGTATGCTTATCTATAAAATGTATAAAAAATAAAATAACATTAAAGATTAAATTTATATCCAAAAATTATAATTTAGGATATTTAATTTATATATATAAATAATTAACTCATTCAACGATTTCAGTAGTTAAAATAAATAGTATTTTTTAAAAAATTTGGATTCGAACAATTGTATCTAGAAATCGTACTATCAGTAGATATATAAAATAAATGTTAATTAAATCATAACATCAATTCAATCAAGTATCTAAGTATAATCATAGATGCATGAATCAAGTTACCTCTCAATGGTTAAGAAATTGGTGTTGCTTCCGGATTCGAGCACCACATATGTAGGGGTGCATGAACATTTATTATCAAGTGATTGAGAATCTTTAAATATATATTATTTTGTATTCACCCCATACTAATAATTTTTTTTATCATCGTAGATATATTATAATTGGAGAAAAAAATAGAATAACACAAATGAACTTTACATAAAACACAAACATATTATCTTCAAATCATTAAAAAGAACAATTTTATATGAACCTTTATATTCATATTACACTCAACTAAAATTTTAACACTTTATTCGTTAAATAAATTTTATCTTTAATTTGTATTTAAATGAACTTTAATCTTTAATATAGGCTTTAACAGATCATTAACATAAATAATTTTTCATTAAATAAAATATTTATATACATACAGTTATATAAAACCAAAATTTATTGAACTATAAATCTATAACAAAATATAAAAATATTAAAAATGAAAATAATAAATGGGATTTATACCATTGATGAGTCGCATGATAGAACAATGGGCGCATGTTAGCGACGTGTAGGACCCAAAGGAGGGCATCTACCCGACACAGAGAGACGGAAGAAGCTACTGAAAAATGGGGGCGTAGGTTGACGCGCGCGGTAAACGGGTGGAGTCAACGGGGAAGTTGAGAAAGGGAATATGTGTACGTGAAGTTTCGAATTATTACTTTTATTTATAAGGTAAACTACATATTTAGACCTAAAGTATTAATTTTGTTTCATTTTAGGACCTATTCTTTCATTTGTTTCAAAATCTTACTTAACGTTTACTTTGTTATTCATTTTAATACTCTGCCATTAAAAACTTAAGAACTGCTACACTTGTAATTGTTTATGGGTAAATCAAATTATTCATCACTTAATTATCTTCTCACTCCTATTTTGGTCACTAAACTTTAAAAATTTCAATTTAACTACTTAACTTTCAAATTGATCATGTTTTAATTACTTTAATTTATTTCATTAATAATTTTTGTGAATCACATTTTATTATGATTTTATTAATATATAATTAAAATTTAAAAAATAAATTTTAAAGTTAGAGTGATTAAATTAGGAGTAATACGAAAGTTAAATAATTAAATTTAACAAATAAACTTCAGTAGCCAAAATAAAAGTGAGAATATAGTTGAGCGATTAATGATACGATTTACCCATAAAAATGTCATGTTGTAATAGTTTTGCTATGGTTTTAACGGCGAGGTACTGAAACAAAACAAAAAATAAATGTTAGATGTGATTTTGAAATAAATGTAATAAAATAGATAGTTTGAGTACTAACATGTAATTTACCCTTATTCATATCATATTAACATAGATGTATTTTTTTACTATATATTAAAAATTAAAATTTTGAACTACCATATTATATTCTTATATAATGGTAAAGGAAGAAATATATAATTAATATTAATATCATTTAAATATATTAAATATTATTGAAATAAATACATTTGTAGAGTTTAAATTTTATCTGACGTATATAAAATAATTTTGCTAAAATTTTATATCAAATAAATATTATATAAATAAAACAAAAAATGTAATATTGTGTGAAATAAATATAAATAGTATATATATGTTTCTGTCCCTTTATCCTATTATTTCATATAATCAATTAGGAAAATTGATAAGACATAAGTTAGGTATAACCATAAGTGAGATGGCCCCTATTCTATCGTTTCTTAATAAGTGTGAAATGTGAATCACAAATATGAAAAATTAGGAAGAAGGAAACAAAACCATACTGAGAAAATTTTTTCATATCAATGCAGAGTAGTGGGAATCAAGTTAAAGCATAATGATTTTGATAGCTCATGTTTTTCAAATTCAATGGTAGGGTAATATTGAGCATAAAGCAAGAAGGTTGAAATCTTCAATGGCATTTATTTATTTATTTTGGGTGGGAACCTTTTGCTTTTAAAGGTATCTTGTTTTTAATTCTTAGGAGATAATAAAATAAAATTCAAAAAATATTATTTATAAAAAAATTCAACCACGTGAACATCTCACAATTTATTCCCGCTTATATAACTAATAAATAACAACACGAACCAATTTACTCACTGGTTAAAGGAGTTGTGGTTCCTAGAGGTCACGTATAACATGGTGATTGAGAGTTCAATATCAAATGGGTGAGAGTATTTAGACCGGCTCTGTATTTGAATTAAAGACATGCAACCATAATCTTTTTAGGGTTTTAAGACCCTAATTAGTCCTAAATCGATTACGAACACATGATCAAAAAATTTTATTCAGAGTTTTAAGATAAATTTATTAAAATAAGTAGATAGTTTGGATTCTGGAGAGATGTATATGATTTTTTATAGATTTTTTTTAGAATGATGTAGTGGGTCTCAAAGATAAGAATTCCACAAACCCTAAAGCAAGAATGCATAAACCATCATATCTTCACAATGAAGGTCCTTCCCCTCTAAGAGTGAAATTCAATGATGTTGTGCCATGAGTTTACCTCTTACGTTGGATTTCAATTTAGTGGGATAAGGCGAAAAGATTGGAGAGACATTTTTTATTGCAAAATCAATCCAACAAAAGACCCACTAAGTGAATGAAACATTGAAGAGACAGACAACAAAAGATTGAACATAAAAGATAATCTCGTTAATTATGATAGATTCACGGTTCAACCGACATATATAATTTTTTATTAATCTTAAGTTGCAACCTCCTTTATATATAACCTTATTGCATCTACTATTTCCCCTAGATTTTGACTTTGACATTTGTATGCAAGTGTAAACATCAGCTTCTTCCACTAACTCAATATCCAGTGCTCAAGTCAAGATTAAGAATAAATATTTGATTGAGTCGAGTCAAAAAATTACAAGTTTTTCGAGTTGGTGTATCTTATTTTATAATTCAAATTTTATTTGAATTTTTTTCCGAATTTTTTCGAATAAAATCGTGTTTATAAAATTATGAGTTAAGTCGAGCTAAAAATTTTAATATTTATGAGTCCAATCAAATTTTGCTCAGCAATCAAGACTGTTGCGGACTCTTGCTCATACTATTTATGGGTTCTTAGGGATAACGTTAACACACCCAACTCCCTTAGTCCCTCCATTATTGTCTTTGGTTAAAATCATTATGCTTTTTTTCAATCTCTTTCACTAATCACTATTCATGAGTGTGTACGTTGTCTAAAAGTGTTTGTAATACTTCTATTTTGTAATAGTTATGTAACTTAGTGGGTTGAGGGAAGGGGAGAGGATATAATATGACATCTAACAATCAATGTGATGGATTGGATAATGTTATGCACATATAGGGTAAACTATATATCTTAAATTTCACGAGAGATATTACGATTGAAGTAAGTTGAGATCAAATAGGTTTGTCTCTTTTACATATGAAAAAGACAATACAACAAGATAATTGATGTATCATTTAAGTAGTTTCAATTTTTCAATCGTTGTTTTTATATATTTTTTTCTTGTGTTTGGATTTGACGTCGTCATGACTGAATAAGATGACATTTATTTGTTATCATATTGATCTTTCTTGTTTTGAACCCTCGAATTGTATTTGAATACGCGATTGCGTTCTTGGATAGTTTTCTCACGTCGCTCAACTTTAATTTGCGATTTGTCGGTGGTCTTTTAGTAGTTTGATATCCTTTTGTAATTCATTTATCGAAGCAGTCAGATATGTTTGTATCTATCTTTTGTTCGAATTTTCTGGTTAGGTTTTTTTAACATTTTCCTTATATGATCATTGTACAATCTTAAGTAGCTCGTTTCTTATGTAAATGATTATAAAAAAAAAATCTAAATATGTGTTTAGTTTACAGTAATAATTATAAGCATTCGTTATATTTCTGAATATTTCTTATTTTTAATAAAACTAACTCCTACTAATATATATATAACGGCGAGACTAAGTGGAGGCTAGTGGGGGCAACGTCCCCAAAAAATTGAAAAATTATAATTTAGACCTATAAAATTTTTAAAATATTTAATTTGGCCCTCCCAAAATTTTCAGAATTTCATATTAATCTTTAAAATTTTTGAATATTCTCAATAAAACTCCTCCCATAGTTTTTAAAAATTCTTATTAAGTCTCAAAATTTTTAAAATTTTAGTTATAACCCAATTTTTTATAAAATATAAACCCTTCAAAATTAAAAAAAAATAATTTAAACCTTTAAATTTTTTAAAATATTAAGTCGACCACCTGAACTATATCACCAAGTTTTATCACTATATATATATATATATAGCCATCAGATTGGACCAAATAAATTGGAATAAAATATGTATGGTAATGTCATCCAACATCATAAATGCGTCACACATATTGTGCTGTCCGTCCGACAATTAATTAGGTCATTGCTAAAGGGGTGACCACCAATATTAATAATGGACCATACCATAGTTTCATGACCCTATAAAATCACAACTCATACATGATTAGGACACCAACATGCTTTCATGTACGGAGTTTCTTAATGAAATCTTAAGATATAACTTTGATATAACTTTAAATTACACATTTTCTGGCGAAATCTTTATGAAAATCACGATAACGACATTGCCTTTGTCACATTCATCTGACATTGGTAACTACCTCTTGTGTTTTAACATCATTAATTACGCTCTAAGGTAGGGTTTTTTTCTTCTTTTTTTGTCATCTTAGGCTGTCCACCAAATGGACCACGTTAAACAGTGGGATAGGACTCGGTGTATTCAAATCTGGTTCGGTTTTTTAATGGAAACGTGGACCAGGCTACACCTGTCCTATCCAGGGACCCTTCATAAACACATTATTCAGTATGTATGCATATATATATATATATATAACACATATAACTCTTCTCATAATTAGGTATAAGAGGTGTTTAAAATTTAATTTTATCTATACATATCTACATTAAGGGTCCGTTTGGTTCACTGAAAACATTTTACAGAAAATGAAATCTGGAAAATATTTTATAGAAATGTAAAACATTTTCCATAAAATATTTTCCAGTGTTTGGATGGTTCATTGTAAAATGTTTTACACAGTTTGGGTAATTTTCCGGAAAATTATTTTCAGAATCTGTTTTTAATGAAGAAGCTGTACATATTGAATATGTTTTATTATTTATTATTTTTCAAAGGTTAATTTTTTTTATATATAATTATATTTTATAAAAATATGTATTTTATATAACATTAATAATTGATTAAAAATATATTATAAAAATTTATAAATCCTAAGAATGTTTAATTAATAGTACACCAAATTAAAACAACAATAGTACATAATATTATATTAATAATAATATTGTCAAATTAAAACAACAATAATATACAACCGTAATAATACATAGTCTAATTCATAATTAGAGCTACAATATATCAATCTAACAATACAAATACTGAAGCCTATACTACAACACTACTTTTAATACAAAACAACATCTCAACTTAAACAACACGAGTAGTTCAATAGTTTGTTCTAAAAGCCAAGATATCACATAGCTTGATCTAATTCCGGGAATGCTCAAAAGCATGTTTTATATAGACATCGAATGCATAAAAAACCAGAGCATCTACAATGGCAACCGTGCATAGCCTTTTAATTATAGGCCATTAAAAATGTTAAATGCATCTCTCATATAACAAAACTTTCTAGCTTGAAGTTGCATATTTTATTGTAAAAAGCAAACATGTTCGATCATACAATGATTCTAGCTAAACTGGGAACCAATTTATGATTAAATCTTAAGCCATAAGGTGACTGGCTAACCCAAAACTTAATGTTTAAGTTTTTTATAAACCATGTTATACTGACAGTGACAGACAACATGTTTATCCGATCAATGGTCCAGGAATCTAAATATTTTGGACCACCCAACATCAGGATTCATCTGATATACAAATACTTGTATCTCTAAACTACTTCCTATTTATTCTGGTATGAAATCAAGATGGGTCTAATCTCGAATCCATCTTAAACTGAAACAGAAACGATTTCGTTTAGTAAGAAAACTGCTTTCAAGAATATCGTGAACAGAAAAGATAAAATCAAGAACCCAAACCATATTGAGTACCAAAAATTCAAGGTAAAAATGATGATTTCTCAGTTGAGATTAAACAAACCCAAATTGAAATTTCACAGAAACTATAAACAAAATCAGAAATCGAAGAAGTGAAATAAGGAATAAGAAAAAGGAGATGAAGAAACGAGACATACTTGAGAAGGATTTCAAACGGTCGACGGTGTGGAGCAAGCAACGGGAGAAATCGTTTCTGTTTTTCTTCTCTGTGTGCAGCAAGTGAAGCTTGGAAAACAACTTACCCTTTTAGAAACGGTAAGTTGAAATACCGTGAATTTGCTTAAGTTTTCCATTGACCGTAAAATGTTTTCCGTTGACTGGGAGTTTTACGCGAACCAAACACCTGAAAACGGGGAAAACATTTTCCGTAAAATGTTTTCCCCGTTCCAAACAGACCCTAATATTATATATCGTTATAATTTCTCCATAAATTAAGTTAGTTACACTTTCAAACTGATTTCTTATATTCTGATCAATTATATTTAAAGATGTGATCATATGTAAACTCATGTGATTTACTAACAGTCGAATTTATTCACCTTGTCAACGTACGAAATGTTATTATGATCTTACACATACATCTCTATTAAAGAAATTTATATAAACCTTGCTACAAATATAAAAAAATGTTATATCGTAATCTTCATTTTGCACTCTTATTATATCTTCTTTTTTATCACTTTAGCCACTATTCTTTAATCAATTTTAATTTTTCATTCAGATGGAAAGAGATTAACCACTTATAACTAATACAACTAACTTATTTCCATCAACGTGCGTGTGTATATATATATATATATATATATATATATATATGTAACGTGATTTTTAACTGTAACTTTTAGTTCATTTTCTATCATAGAACTGGACACACCTGAAAAATCAAATTAATTTTTTAAATATTATATTTAATTGACTTAAATGGTAGAAAGTCTATGGGAAAATAGTGAAAAGAATTAAGTTTCAAGTCATTAATGTAACGTTCATATCAGATTTTTCATTAATTTTTAAAATCGTTTTGGGGTTTTTTAGATCGAAATAAGATTTCTTCAACTGAAACGCCTATAATTAAAGAAAATGAAGTTTATGATTTAATTATTTGGTATTTTAGATTGTAGCTTTTTAACAATTTGACATATATTTATTTTATTATTATTACATTGATATTATGTGTAATTTTATAATAATTTTAAATTTTTTAAATCAATATGTTAACGTCCACGTCAAATTCTAATTATTTTTTTAACGAAAATGAATTATTTTGTAACTTTCGATTAGTTAAGTAACTATTTTGTAATTTTTATAGTTGAGGCACAAAATTAAAAGATATTTTATAGTCAAGAGACTATTTGAATAGTTTACCATATTTAAAAATAAAACTATTTGTTATAAAAAATAAATGAATTTGAACCAACAATTGGTTGACTAATAAAATGATATATTAGATCTCTTAAACAATGTTTGAGATTCAAATTTTTGACGACGTTAATGGATTAAATTGGATTGAAAGAATTGCTCTCACAATATAATTTTACGATATCTGATTTGAATTAATCGGTCAAGAGATCAAATATCGATGGTTAAACTAGAAAAAATAAATTTTAAAGAATATTAAAATATGATTCATAATATTTTTTTGGTTGCTCTCCATGTTCCAAGGCTTCGTCTTGACTAATTCGGACCGACATACGTCGCACAACTAGCTTTGGTGGGTGAGTCTCCCAGCAAGAATTTTCTGTATACACAAGGACTCGAATTCGAGACATAGCTTAAGCGATATCAAGCTGCTTACAACTTAAATAAATAATGTTATAAATAAAATCAAAATTTTAAAATAAATGTAACCTCATATACCTGGTCTATGCGTTACGACCAAATCTATCAGATTACGATAAAAATTTCCAAAATATTTTTCAATAATTTAAATCCATATTATGAATAAACACCTTTTAAAAACATAGTTATTAATAATAATTTCTAATTCAAGTAATATATAAAATTATAAATGTCTGAGTAAAATAAAATCTTTCACAAATCAGTATCGATGTAATTCTAACATCAGTCGCAAAAGCAATATACGTCGATAAATAGGCACATGTCACCCATTATAATGACAAATCAGAAGATAAAAACATTACAACAAAATAATATTGTACGAATGTGTCGATCCTCTAAATGCCAAGTCTGGGTCGCCTATCAAAAAGTATCTAAAAGAGAAAAGTTTGGGGGAGTGAGCTAGGAATCTCAGTATGTTCCAGTAGTGCAAAATAAAAACATACAGTTAAGTTTCAAAATCAGTTTATTATCAAAGTTATGAAAATGATAGTAGAGTTGTAGTTTAAAATACAAAACAACCCTCAAACCATACGCCATATACAATTCCCCAGAACTACATCCATAAAGACTTACCCTAGGCCCAAAGAGCGTAGGTGTTAACCGAAGGGAGCACGTTGGGTCCATAAGATCTTATCCTAGCCAAAGCGTAGGTGCCCACCTGAGGGGTGTGCCCTCAAGCCCATAAGGACTTACCCAATGCATATAACAGAGGAGCCACCCTAAAGGAGTATCTTAGGATCCATAAAGGTTTTACCACTACGCCCATTGGGCCCAGGAGCCCACCCAAGGGTCACCTTAGATCTATAATGAATTATCAGCTTAATCGGAATTGAACATGCATGAGGAATTATCAGCATGATCAGAGTTGAACCTGCAGAGACTTCATACCAGATCTCTTAATATCCCAAAGAGAATAGTTTTCAAACAGTAACTAACAGTAGCAAGGAAATCAAAGTTCTAACAAATATCAATTCAGTAAAAACATGAACCAGAAAACATGAACCAGACAAGTAACCTTAAAACTTCAGTAAATCAGAAACCAGGCTTGAAATAGATAAATCATGCGAAATTAAATCAGATCAACTAGTCATATTGCAAATTAGGTAAAACAATCATGTACACATGATATTTCAAATATACATACATACATATATATATATATATATATATATACGCACAAGGAACACACCTCACAATAAAAAGCAGTCTGGTAGATTTATTGAGCACCAGCTTCACTATGCTCTTCGACTGTACGAGAACCTAAGTCATATCAGAACAAAATTATTATTAGAGTAGTACACTAAACCAAGTATTTAACAGGGTTACAGAACTATACGAGTAATCACGGGCTCTTGCAGACGAGTGGATCGGGAGGAACCGGGCCAAGCAGACGAACGGTCAGGAGAAATACGGGTACCTTAATATACGACAACATAAATTAGTCCTTGACTCTCAATTAAATTAGATGCACTTAATTAAATCGCTTAAATAAATACTTAAATTACATAAACATATTCGAGTTTAATGGGTAAATTCAGAGACTTTTAAGTTCGAATTTGGCAAAACAGACTTCAGATTCAGACTCAGGACGTCGAAAAACATAAAATATAACTTTTAAGAAATTTTGACTTTTTTTTTATCAAAGTCAATGGTCAAATGTCAAAGTCAACAGTTCTTGTCAATGGTCTTGTCAAAGTCAACGGGTCAGACCAGTTCGGGTTGACTCAAGCTGGTTCAGGTTGACTCAGTTCGATCCGAGTTAACTCAAACCAATTCGAGTGATTCTAAGAAGTTTCAAGACAGGGGAGGAGCCCCACGCGCACGCGGTGGTGCGTGATGACGACGATGGGGTTAGGGACGATAGCCCAACATTTCGAGACCACCAAAACATCAAGACCAAGCCATAACTATGCTCAAAACAAGTTAAAATCATCAAAATCAAAAGAAAATGGCTGAATTTCTTACTCGACGGTGGACGGACGAAACCAACAATGACACGGTGGCCCACAAATTGGGTTTTGAGCACACAGAGGTAGGGAATTCAATGATGCAGGCGGTGAGGCGAGCCGATGACCGGGGCGACCGAAATCGAGGAAAGATCGAAGTGGCATAAAGGTTTTCGGTAGAACTTCAACGGCTTCTCTACGGCGATCAGCGACATATTTCGACAATCAGTCAGAGGGGTTTTGATCGGGTTGAGGCGTCACACCGCCGGCTGGAGGGAGAGAATCGACGAAGAAGAGCACGAACGAGTTTATCCCTTCTTCTCGATGAACGGTGATTGACTTTGGTGTCCCGACGATCGGAGTCGGGTAACGAAGGGACGTCGATTCAACTGGTGGTGTCGGTGAATGTCACAGACGGATGAAATGATGGTGGACGGTTGAAGATTGTGACGGTTGGGTTTTTTTGGGGGGGGGGGGGAAATAGGTTTGGGGTTTGAGATTTCACGAGTATCGGGGGTTTTAAAAAATAGGTTAACACCCCGTTTATTAAACATAAAATAAAATTTTATTATTTCCAATAAAAAACAGTAACCTAGCTCGATTTATAGCAATCATTTGCATGAAAATGTCTCTGCTTAAAGTGTATTTGCTATCGATATTACATTTTAGCATATAAAACAAAATCAGTTAAGGATCTGCCATATTACAGATATATAAAAATTTAAAAATAATTTAATATATTTATATCAACACTCGTATTTAAATTCAAATATGATATTTTTGAATTTTATTTATATAACAGTTTGTAAACAAACATTCTTTTTCTTCGTTTTTTTCATTTTATTTTAGATAAAATAAAAAGGGTAATTTGAGCTGACCATGAGCTAATAAAGAAAAACAAGGCTCGGATACTTAGTTTAAAGTGAGTAAATAGAATTCTATACTCGATCTCATAAATATATATAGAATTCTATAATAAAAAATTCGTATTCAATGAAGGTCGTATTTATGGTTTGGAGTCAAAATAAATGATTTTTAAATCTTATGAAAATAAAATAGATTTTTAAACTCCTTTAATAGGTCTCGATAGAGTATCGGGACAAAATCCGATATCAAAACAATATCATTTATCAAGAATTTAATCGATTGTTTGACCGATGATACTTCGAAGAACTCTTTCGAGAGAGTCAATGATCTCTTAACAATACTCATTTCCGAGTGGTGCCTATATGACGAAAAATAGAAATGTTAAATAAACATATTGAAAGCTTTTATTTCTAATCACTAAAGTTTCTAAACCTACGTTTTGGTCACTAAAAATATCAATAAATCATAAAATGGTCACTTTGTTGACTTCGGTTAGGTTGATAATATGACTTGTTGATAAAAAGGATTAATACCCAATTTGACACCTAAACTATAAAGTTAAAATATTTACTTGGTCCTTGACAAAAGGCTTTAACCCTGAAAATATTTATATATATAATACAAACTCCATCTTCCTCGAGTAACCCATCATCAACATCACCAACCCTCACACTCAGCCACCATACCACCGTTTGGTGTATTTGGTAATGGACAAAAATGCTTCGTTAAAGCTAACAGCTAGAAACCAAAATAAAAGGGTGATTTTCACTAGATAAACAGTAAACGTTTCCAACTTACCAGGAAAACAACAAAAAGAAAAAGGGAAAAAAAGGTACAATTGAAGCATTGGATCCAATAATTATTTATGATCCAAACAAATTTCACATGTAGAATAATAAAAAGGACACATGTACCATCTAGATCTAACAACAAGGAAAAGGGATCATAATCTATATGAATAACTAATGAATTATTGAACCATTGCAGTAGTTTGGGACTGTAGTTGATATCTATTTTCAAGGCTTCCTTTACTTCGGTTTCTAGTTGTTAGATTTAACGAATCAGTTTTGTCAATTGCCAAATACACTAAATGCTGGTGTGGTGGTTGATTGCTCAGGGTTGATGATGTTGAGGAAGTTAGAGTTACAACTTCTTGTTGAGGACTAAATTGATGTTTTAACTATAGTTTAGGGGTCAAATTGGATATTAGACCTTTTTATTACGGTGCCACGTGACCATATTGTGATTTATCAATAATTTTAATGACTAATACATAACTTTTAAAAATTTTGTGAACATTACCCTAAACACAAACCAATGGTCCTTTTCTTATCCTTCAAACATGGCCACCTAAAGAAAGATACTCGAAAGATCAAAAGTTTGATCTTTCCCATCATTTCATTAACTCAGCGGTTGGCACAGCATTTAACAATAAAAATCTTCAAGTACAGAGTCCACCTTTAATGAAAGTGTTGAAAAAACAACAGACTTTACCTCGGCAGTGGGGCAAACATGTCTCCTTTTGTCTTGTTAGAATCCATTGATCCTCTCCACTTCATTTCTGTCAAAGATAAGATTAGGCAAAGCTTGAAGAAAGTAAAAAATAAAAATAAAATGGAACCTTTAATTAGCACTATGTTGTGAGCAGCATATTGCTATATTCTGAGCTAATCAAAACAATCTAAAGTTCCTTTTCCAAAGTAACACCACAACAACTTTAAGAAAACAAATAGTTTTACTCGGATTCGGGTGTAAATGTCACAAGTACGAGTTCAAAACGAAATATTTGATTCGTGCATTTGAAGGGTTATACCCAATGCTCATGTCTAGTTATGGGTTGAACCTGTCATGAAAATAAAAGAGTAAAAGCAAACAGTGACTTCTGCAGAATAAGATACTTCCAATGATTCTCACCTTCTTTTCCTTCCCATTCAATGAGAACTGGTTTTTTGACCAAACAAGAAAGGGGATGAATCTATTCCTATCAAATGCTGCTTCCCTTGATTGCTTTCATTGTTCAAGTATGCAATTATTTCAGGTTTATGCATTTTCCAAATTTCACTCTGTTGAAAAAATACAGCATCATCAAGTGCTTAACACTATAATGAATAATCTTTCACAAAGATCATTGATGAGATAATAGTAAACAATAGCATAACTGCAGAGCAATCATCAAGATCCCTACTTTCTGTTTCCACGGGTAGACCATTTCATCATGTTTTTATTATCAAACACATCAACGACTTTCTCTAAAATGCTTTCCAGTCAACTTGGACCAGTAAAATCCATAGGAGCACATAGATGAGTGCTTAAAATATCAAGAAAATGCAGTAAAGCAAAGTCACTATGGAGTTATTTAGTCCCCAGGAAATTCAATCTATTGTTTGTGGGCATTAACAACCACCACTTGATTTATCAACTTCATAGCACTAAAATAAAATAGAGCAAGTCACATTGTCGAGTTGAGTTGGAAAATTAAGTATAATGGTACAAATCTAAGTCAAAAGGATGAAACAGTAGTTCTAAGCTTGCATTAGATTAAAAAAGCACTTATGTTAGACTTGTACCTATAACCGACACTCAAACTGATATTTGAGTTGCCATATTTTTTTTATGCAATATGTAGCTCCTAGACCTCCCTAGTTCAATCAAATATAACCAAAGAAATCCTGGATTTGATATGATAATAAACAACTGAAGATCCTTTAAAATCATCCTGTTTTCCAGCAGAGACCACCGTTACTTATAAGCTGAGGATTCGTTCTTGGTTTTCCTTTTATTTCAACATTGTAATATAAAGTCTCAATAGCCAGTACCAATCATAAGATGAGAGCATGAACTCAAAGGAAAGCCAGAACAAACATCACAATTAAGTTGCAGGACCAAAAGGATAAAGGAAAAAAAAGGCATTCACAAGCATAAAGATCTGAACTTCAGCTTTGAAATGAGCGAAGACATTTGGCTACTTACGTGAAATAAATGTCAGTACTACATCTGACAGTACCTCTTTCGCGGAACTAAATAAATTATCTGAATCTGCATTCTCACATAACAAACAAATGAATGAGCATTCACTATGAAACTGCTCCTTCAATTACATAAGGCCTCAAACAAATGCCCCTTTATTATAGGAGGTCCAATAAGCACTTCACTTTAGTTGCTGAGCCTTCTTATGTTGAGTCTCCAGCCTTTGTCGTTGACCCTTGTTAGCCAAATGCAGTATTTTAACAATTCGCTCCAAACTTAGAAAATGGGGAAATTGGATGCGGTTTTTTCCATTAACAATAACAAGACGATTTATTAATCCCCGCACAACATGCTGCAATTTTAGCAGTGAATTTCAACATTTATGGTTAAAGGACAGTCTGCAAATTTTCTTTGGTCTCAACAGGGAATGATGGTCCAACTAAAAGCTTACAATTCTGGAGTGCTTTTATTCAGATCTCAATATTTTTCTTAAATGGAGTAGAGAAAGTAACCTCTGTCTCTGCTTGCTCTGCTTTTTTTCAAGTTATGTCAAGTTTGTTTATCAAATAAAATAACTAGCATAAGAAAAACTAGTAACTCAGCAGAAAATGGTCCCGTGCATACTCCATTCTCAAATGGGAAAGGCAGAAAGAATTCCACCTTCTGTGGTTTTCTCCATCCAAATAAAATACTGACATGTCTGTTAAGTAACAACCTCTGAAGAATTCATATTGTTACATGACTGGTTCGTTTCTACCGCTAAGTGCAACAAACTTATCATTAAACATCAAGATAGGACATTTGTCTACCAATCTTGTACCATCATAAGCTTCTTTAAGAAATACAGTGCTCCTTGCACCTTTATTTGTAATGTAAAAGACACCATGGTGCTTTATCAAACATAGCAATAACTTAGATGGTAGTCGGTACTCTGAATGAAATGCATCCAATTTTGCAGATACCATCCTCTTCTCCATAGTCAAACTGAGGAGTTCATGAAGTACGGCTACCACTCTTTTTCGGGTTCTTGGATCTGCAACTTCGAATCTCCTCCCGTTCAAGTATGGAGAAGGGAAATCCGTTTTCTGCCACTTCTGAAGCTCCTCAAGATAACTATTATTCGGTCTAAAACCAGCCGCATAACACATTTTAAAAGCAAATGGACCGAGATAGTTACCATCTTTCATGATCCTAATCTTCTTTTGACCACCAGCAGACTGCAACGTCCCCTCAGGTGCGAATCTCTCTTTCACGAGTAGTCACTGCCAGTGAAGAATCCCAGCTCTCCAAGTTAAGATAAGCTCTACCATTGATATCTTTGATCGATAAATATTCGGGATATTTGAAAATCAACGACTTTTTGAAGTCCTGGGGCAGGCCAAGTTCATTTCCAATTAATTCAACCTTTTCCAATGGCACCCTATAATCAATCGACAACATTAACAACTTCCTTAGATTTTTAACCAAAATGGGTTCCATTAAATTCCAAGCTTCACCCTCTTCTCTAGCAATCATTTCGGCTTTTCCAGTTAGTGTAACAAAAGGGAGTTCTTTTCCACTACCACCACCAACATGGAATATTGAAGGGTACTTCTCAATGATGGACATGAAGTTCCATTTTGCCACAAACCCAACTTCCTTTTCGAGGTCACGGAGAAGAAGACATTGATGCTTTTGAGATTGGATGATGGACTTTAGCTGAAGAATTAAAGATGGCTTCTTTTGCATGTCCATTACTTTGTCAAGTTGATAGTCCCTATGGTATATTTTCTTCTTTGATCTCTTTGTTCCATTTGATATTTGCCGCACTGAAACTAACATAGAATCCGATTTTTGACATCTGATTGCTGAAGATAACCACATTATTATGGATCTTTTCAACATCGATTAATAAAATAAAGACGGTGTTTTTCTTTCACTGAGGCAAAACCTCGAACAAATGGTGTGCAATTCCCAAAACCAATATCAAAACAAACAACCGGTTGGAGATGAACAAAAACCCAGATATGGAAAAATGGATTGTGATCGATTGACAATACCTTCTGTTGGAGAAAAAAGTAAGGATCGAAGAATCTTATGTTTTGCTTTCGAAGTCGTAATCGGAAGAGTAAATCAATGTAGCAAGGTTTAATTGTTTATTTGGAAGTACGATGAATTTGTCGATTTTTTTTCCTTCTCATTTAACATAAATAAGTATAAAAATTATACTCTATAAACTTTATAATATAAATCTTGATTTAATATAATACATGAAATTTTAATTTTAAATTATGATTAACACTTTTGAAAAAAAAGTTAATTAATTAATTAAGCTTTTATATTTAGTTATTCTTTTATCAAATATCAAATAAAAGTATTCGAGAAATATATAATTATAATAAGAGTTAACTACATCATATGTCTCCAAACTCTAAGCCTTAAATTTTTGAAGATTCTAATTTAATCTATAAACTAAGACTCTAATTCTAAATTAGTCCTTAAATTTTTGAGCATTGTAATTTTATCCCTAAACTTAGTCCTTTAACTTTTGAATATTCCAATTTCATCTCCAATTTCATCTAAATGTGTAATTAGTTTCAACCATTGTTTAATCTATTTTTTTCAAATATATAATAATATAACTTGACCTAACGATTTTATCAACAAGTGATGTGATTAGAATTTGCCTAGAGTTTAGAATTAAATTTGAATGTTCAGAAAGTTTGGTACTAATTTATAACAATAATCATAGTTTAGGGATAAAATTAAAATGTTCACAATTTTAAAGACTAATTTAAAATGATAATCATGATTTAGAGCTGAAATTAAAGTATTTAAAAGTTTAAAAATTAATCTAAAATGATAGTCATACTTTAAAAACATATGATGCAATCAACCCCTATACTATCCTATAGCAGAAGTACACCTATCTCTTTGTTCCTACTTTCTTTTAAATCATCAAATGAAACAAAATTATAGAATAAACTATCCGAGAAATTATTTCATCAAGTAATATAAAATTTTACGATAGTTCAAATTTATTGCGAGCATTAATAAATTTGTCAGACGATAATTTAATTACTCCGTTAGTAATGTTGTAAGTTCTTTTTTTCTTCTTTTAAAAAAGATTCTCAACTTTTCCACGACATTATTAAACATGACAGTTTAATTTTGTTAATTGAAACAATAAATATAAAAAAACAAAATCAATATTTCATTAAAAATAAATGAAAAAAAGTCAAAATTCATAATTTTTCAAAAATATTAAATATAATATATTATCGTAGGACAGTATCTTTTTTTTTAAAAAAAAAACTCCTAACTTGTTAATGTTAACAATCTATATTTTTTTTTCTCATCAATAATTCTCTTTGGATACTATTTTTTTATTGAAAAAGCCAAACTAGTGGATGATATTTATAGTAATAATTTTAATTTTAATTAACATATTAGTTCTCATCAATAACTTCTCATTGCATTATGAGTTCAACAAACTTATTAGTGGCCAAAATTATAGCAGTATCAACAACTTTTATCAATTAAAGGTTGACTCGTCAGTAATATTATGACAATATTTTCTAATTTAAGAACTTAGTTGGCATGTAATTAAATTATTGTAAATATTTTGGAATGTAAATATGTGATAGTTTTAGCATGTTGACTTTAGAAATATCATATTTTATAGTTGATCAATTTGAAACAAATTTTTACGGGTTTCCAAATGACAAACATTTTTATAAAATAATGTGACCTCTGTATCTCGTGTACGGAAATGTATACGGGATATGGGTGTTAGAAAAATAACTTCCATTAAGAATTACATAACACCATGTCAACCTGCTTTAATCTACTTAGATCAATAATCTGATAACCCATTTACATTCTACTAAAAACCAAGCCCTGCTTACAATATAAAACAAGTTTAATCAAGTAATCAAATAGGTACCAACAGAGTAACAAAAGGCTATAGTTTAGCTTCCTCATTCAAAAAGTTTGGCTGGCTTTGCTCACTTCTTCAAATTTGGCTTCGATATTCAATATATTTTATGTAACTCAACTACATACTCTAAGCTTGATGTTAAACGTGCACGTCTACAAGTTATGTAGCAACAAACAAAGCAGGGCATAATTTCCATTTGCGGGTGGCGTACCAGATTACTATGAACACAGTACGAGTTACCTCTTAAGGTTTTGATTCAGATAGGCTCAGATGTTCCAATGATAATTGCTCAGCAGTCAGCAGGGGGTTCAGGGTTCATAGACTTGATAGGGGTTATTGGAGCTGTTGCCACTGTTTCGACTCATTTGGGATCCATAACTGTATACTTGATGGTACTAACCAGGAAGAGGCAATGGAAGTAAACCATGATCTCCCCATCTGAAATTTATTACACAAAAAAGAACGTGAGGTTCACTTTAATCTTCAGATATAATTAGAAAGAAAAACTCACGACGTAGTCAAAGAGAGAGTAAGCCAGCAACACAGAAAACCTCAACCAGATTTAGGTGAATTCAGTAGCAAGATCTCTTCATTCTTATCGGACCAAATGAAGACATGGGTATTTTCCAAAACCGTTTCTACTAACACTTATCACTCTCTTCCACATTCTAGCTGAAAGATTGAAAAAAGACTGTTTTGAAAGTAAGACTCTCCACTGGATTGTTCTCCACCATACCCTAGTTTTACAAAGATGTGTATTACACTCTACTAGGTTTCATATGCATGTTAAAGCTATTTTCCATCAGAACACATCTTTAAAAGATATCAGAGGCTTCAGCATCAGAAATTTAATATGATCAATGTACACATGTGGCATCCAATGGATATCTACATAAATCTTATTGCCGAAACATTGCAAAACATCCCAAGACATATAACCAACAATACTCGATCATTGATGAACATAACTAACCTTCGGGATGCAAGGAAGAAGCGGAATCGATATAATCACTAAGCTGAGGATGCTATGCCCTCTGTACAATCATTTTGATAAAGCTCCTCCATTCAAAATCACCATAACCGATGCACACAAGTTACACCACTACGTTTACATAAACTCTACCCATCAAAAAATAAACTCGGATTTCTACTAAGAACACCAATTGCTCCAACTTTCACTCATTTACCAATCAATAACTAAACATTAACTTATGTATTTCAAAACAAATATTTCCTAAAATATCTTATTTCTATAGAGATAATAATAATAACAGAATTTATCAGCCAAATCTTTTTTAATTAATCAAAGCTAGGAAGTATTACCTTTAACAGGTTGATTATCTTTGCTTTCCGTCCAACCACCTGGAAAAACTGAACTCGTCGTGTTGCTCGTCGCAGTTTAAAGTCCGAGAACATTTAAAGGTATATAAGAAGAAAAAGATACTGAAATTACCTTACACTAAAGAAAGCTTCTTCAAATTTAGATAACAAAAATTGTAGTTCTACTTCACAAACTAGGAAATAGAGTTAAAAAATGTACAATATTATGATCAGATGAAAGAGAAAAACAAGAAGAACAATTGTTCGAAGGTTATTACATGTATAAAGTCAAAGATACAAAAACTAAAAGCCCTAACAACAACATGGACATCAAGAACAACAAAAGGTACAAAGGGACAAAGAAGGTTAATATTTACAGAAAATTCAGGACTGAACAGCATTTAAATCAAGCAACTTAAAGTTAGTAGGGGCGTTAGGTCCGCGCAGCTTCAGCGCCGCTTGATCATAAGCAACGGCCGCTTCTTCCGCCGTATCGAAAGTGCCCAACCAAAGCCTCATCCTCCTACCATCCCTAATCTCCGCCGCCCATCTTCCCCACGGCCTTTGTCTCACCCCTCTGTACCTCTTCGCCTTGCCCTGGCTCGGCTCCTCTATTACTTCGTTCTCTTTCTCAGAAACTCCGATGGTGATTTCGTTCACAAGCTTCTTCTTCGGTCGCTTTAGGGTTCTCTTCGGCGACACCGCTTCGTCGTCGCTGGAAGAGTCGGTAGCGTCGGCGTCCGTAACGGTTATTCGAACAATTCGCCGGGAAATCGGACACTCAGGCTTTCCGTTCGGCTGCGGCGGCGGCGACATAATTTTAGGGCTGTTTTTTAATACTAATTTCGAATGAGAGAGAAGGTGAAATAATTTGGTTTATATTTAAACTTAGCTTTTCTGTTGGAATATTCTTTTGAATTTTCAAACCGCTTCGCATAAAAATCATTTCATATTGCTTTCTTACTATTTCATCCCACTTTTTAAAGATTTTTAGAGAAAACGTTGAATAGGGAAAATAATTACTGAAATGTGTTATTTAATGAATCATGATAAAGTTTATAGTAGAAAAAAGTGGGAAAATTATACGGTTTTGGAGAATTTAATATGATTATTTGGGACAATTTAGAGAAAAAATTTAAAAATGAAAATAAATATTTTTTTAATAAAGAGATTAGGGACGAGCAAAATTCGACTAGACTCGACATAAAAAAATTCGACTTAAATTATCTTTGAGTTGTAATTTCATAAACTCAACTCGACTAAAAAAAATTTCAAGTTTAGATCTAGTTGTGAAATATAACTCGAATAACTCAAAATTTTTAGTATTTAGTGGATTGATTTTCAAATTTGAGTCGAATCTCTCGACTCTGTATGATATATGTATGTTACATATGAAAAAATTATAAAGATATATATATATATATATAAAGTAGCATAACTCAAAAATAAAATAATATTATAAATATTTACATTTTAAATTTAAATAAAAACTCAAAAATTTGACTCAATTTGAAAAAAAATTCAAGTCAATTTCAAGTTATAAAATATGACTCATCAACTAGAATAATTTAAAAAAAAATTACTCGACTCGATCGAACACTCACCCCTAAAAGAGAGTGGCGCCCGAGAAATGAAAATTTGTCTCAAAATTTTAATTTTAATTTCTCCAAAACCTATTGCATATCAAAATTTTTTGATTAATGCGTCGGAAAAAGAAAATAGTTGAAATAATGCATTGGACACATTAATTTATGGGATAAGGCGATCGCTACAGTGATCACTGGAGACGCCATCTAATTCGGGTGACCTAGACTTTGTCGCACTGCAGTGGGCGCGTCTCCATGCATAAGATTCACGGGCCACGTCTCCATGCATAAGATTCACGGGCCATGCATCAGCTTGAGTGCAATGTGTCTCCACCTAAGACGCATAGAGTACAATTCTAACGCATGGAGTGTGACTCCTCCCCTATTATAGCAATGACCCTATCGCAATAAATAATTTCAAACGTACATTATCTCAAAAAAAAAATATTTCCACATCACTATCTTGCCCCTTTTAACATGCATAATTGAAACATTGATTTTCAATAATAATAATAATAGACTTCGTTGACTAAATAATTCAAACGAAAAAACCGAGAAAATATAAATGGTGGAAAAATAGTTTTGAATTTAAGTTATTTACAATAGTAATTTTGGAACTCATCGCATAAAAATGACGAGTTTCACAAAATATAATAAACAATTGAAATATATCATAAAAACGTAAAAAATTCCATATAATTTTTATTCAGTCTACATAATAAGTTATACATATATTATAATAAATGTTTTAAATTTAAAAGTAAATTTTCAACTCGTTCATTTTTTTAATTTTTGTTTTCAGCTCATAATATTTTCAAAATTTATTACTTGTGTCTTTCTCTTTTCAAATTTCTCTAAGTGCGAGTGTATTTATTAGTTTTAGAAAATATAAAATAAAATAAATGTAAGGAAGAAAGCTGGTGATTGCATAGGAAATCATAGAGAATAGGAGGAGAGAGACGACGAAAAAGAAAAAGAAAATAAGAAACTCTTAGCATATATATATATATATATAGGAGGTTTTTTTAAATAAAAGGATGGTGTTCTTTTAAATATATTAACTTGGCATGTTATCTCTAAATTTTATTTTAAATTTAAATAATTTTAAATAAAAATTGATCTTATTATATTAAATTAAATTATTTTGATTATTTTTATACTCAAACGTGTGTTCAAAATAATTAACAATTTATGATAAAACTATGAGAATTGTGTATATAATGTTTTCAATTTCCTATCAACTATCAAAGTTAAGAATTTAAATCATAACGTTTGTGAATGAAGTAAATTGAATTGGAAGAATCATCTCTATAATGAATCTCTATAAAATACAATTTAAATTAATCGATTAATAAATAAGACATTGATAATCACAAATTTCCTCTCAACTAAAGTACTTAAAAACAATCGTTTACTAGAAGAAGAAGAAGAAGCAATGTTAAAGTATGGTTTAAAACCACAAGGAGACTCCACCATATTATTATGATGCAAAAACAAGTTTGAACACATGAAAACTATTGCACTTTGACTCTACTAAACCACCAAGAACAGTAAAACAATTGACTAAAAAAGTCCTTGGCCGCTTTCAAGGATAACTCATCATCCGGAATTTTATTTAGATCGATCGAGTAATGCTTGCCTTCAATCTACTCATCATTAAGCCTGAAAAATTCCACCACCGCCTTCCATTCTTAGAGTTTCCATTATCAATGGCAGCTTCTTCAACGTCATCATCACTTGTAGAGGCTGAGACTCGCTGTCCGTGTTCTTTAACAATTCTTGGAGAAAGATATCCATGAGTAACAGCACCGGCTTCGTTGTTATCATCATCTTTGTCAAATCTTCCAGACGGAGGACGATTAATATCAACCCCGACATCATCGTCATTGTCGAATCTTTCGGACGAAGAACGATGAATGTCAACACCAGCATCATCATTGATTGAACCTTCCTGTTGGCATGCCAATGCTAGGGTTTTAAGTTTTAAGGCCCCGACGTTGTCGTGTCCATCTCATTACGATCATCGCCTTCTTTAACATCTCTTTGAGACCGATAACGATCAAGAACTGCATCGGCATTATCGGAAGTATAAACCCTACCCTGTTTAGAAATTATGACGACGACGATTTCTTCCCCGCTCAGCTTCGACAACCGATCGGCTTTGATGAGCAAACCCTTTTTCCGTTTCGAAAAAGCCACCCATCGTTTCCTCTGGCTATCTATTTTCTTGATCTCAATCTTTCTTCAACCGCACCCTTTTCGTCTCGGTCTTGGCACTTCCATGGTTAACACTTGCAAAATAGCTTTAAAGAAAACTAACAAAGGTCGAAAACCCTAAATAGTTTCCCAAAAAAACTAGGGTTTTGGAGTGTAAAGAATTAAGATAAAAGGAAATTGAAGGATAAACATTCATATATAAAGCTTACGACTTTAACTGTCCCAATAGAAATCTATTAGCTTTGGAAAGTTTTAATTTCCTTTTAACCGTCCTACCCGAAAATCACAACGAAAATAGAAAATATATTCAAATAATTACCTTTAATTAATTAATTAGTATATTAAAAAAAAGGAATAGTACCCTTTTCTTGCTTCTTATTCCCTTGATGAAGTTTAAGTCTTACTGAACAATAATAATTCTACAAGTCTATATATACCCATCTTTCCCGTGTCTATAGTTAGACCGCCCGTGATGAACATAGTTTTCTTAGTCCAAATTTGCGGAACATTGTATCATCTACTTGCTCCCTTCTCTTTGTCTTCAATGGCTATGGACAATGAAAAAGCGAGTAACATAGCCGCCTCGAGACAAAGACGGAACTTGTTCAAGAAAGCTGCGGAGCTTGCGACACTATCCGGTGCACGAGTCGCCATCGTTTCCATCTCCAAGAAAGGGAAAGTTTTTTCGTTTCCAGGTTCGGATTCCGTTATTGATGTTTACTACGAATTAAAGGAATCATCTCATTCCAACATGAGACCGATGATTTCAAAGAAAAGGCCGAGTATGGACAGTGTAGACGATGATGCGACTAGGATTGAGATGATTTCGAAAAGAAGGCGAAGTATGGAAAGAGCTGGGGAGGATGGTGTGATTGATAAGAATGAAGAGTTGAAGAGCAATGTAGCGGCGGCAAGGGCAAGCACGAATCAGTCTTTGCTTGATCTAACCTAAGCCCTTGCCAAATCAGGCGATGAGATTTAATCTTGATTTCCAGGAAAGTTTCTCATGTCTGTCTTTTTTGTACAATATCAATGTATATACATTAAAAAGTAATGGTTAAAAATTTCCTTATTCAGATACAGAAATCTCATTTGAAACGAACATGACTATAGAATGTAATCTTTGATTAGTTTTAGTTAATAAATTTCAAATCGAGATGGATGTTGAACTCAAGTTCTACTGATATCTGTTGTTATACTTTAGCAAGTATCAATTCAATCTCCAAGCTGATGTAAAGAAATCAGATTCAACAGTAGCCAAATTTATTCTCTTAACATGTAATTGGTTCCAAGCTAGGCCAAATTGAGTATGAGATATTTGAGTTGTTCACTAATTCTTGAAGATTGATCGACAGCTTCTCGTTTAAAAGGATAATACTCGAAGACTAATCGAAAATATATATTGTTTGAAAGGATAATGTATAGTGTTAAATATTTATTTAGAAGGATACTACTCGAAGACATAAAATATAATAGTTTAAAAAGATGATGTATAGTTTTAGATTTTAACTTAAATTCTAATTAATAAGTAATAGAAACTTTCGTAAGATTTTTTCGGTGCTCATTTGCCAATAATAGGACTATGTTTCTTGTTTTGCAGTAACACTTATCTTGTAAGATTTCTCTACAAGCTTTTCTTTCATTGAATGCATTTAGAAGCTGCATATTGTTGTTCTTTGAGATTATGGAGTAAAATTATTTTATGATTTGATTACATTTCCACCACAAATTCTCAACATATCATTGCAATATATATTGGATGGTTAAAATAGCTTTTACTATGCATCTCCCTCTCCCTGTTTCAACATTTCTGTAAATGGAAAACAAGGATGAAACATTTTTTGGAATTTGAAACTTTTTTTATCATTAAATTTCAAAATGATAATTCTATAAAAATAAAATATCTTTTATAATATTGACACTTTCAAACCAGCCTAGACCAAAATGATTACTTACTCCACTCATAAACACCAAAGTAGACGCCCGGTGATGCAACCATACAAACACCAAATCAATAAAGTAATCAAATGTGAAATACTGGGGAGGTAAATAGGAAAATATAGCTTAAACACGATCAAAGTTGAAATACAGTCGTCCAAACTTAAAATTGCGGAGTTCATTGTGAAAAGCATCCAAAAAGACCTGACCTTGCATGATACGTTTAGTAAGCAAAACGCCAGTAAACATAAATAGGCTGCAAAACAAAACAAAGTTGCAGCCAAAAAAAAAAAGCCGGCAGAATCATACCCAACCCTCTTCAGTTATTCTCCATCTTACAGCTTGTCCTCGTACTCGGAAAGTGGGGTCATCTGCTCCTTGAGTCCCTTCCTCTTGCGGATGTCAGCAACGTGGGCAGCTGCTTGGGAACCAGGTTCCAATGGATCGGATGACATCATATCCCAGTGATCAAACACACATTGTGGGAAAGCCTGTCCTGATGTTGCAGCCCTCAGAGTGCTTGAGAATCCAAAAGACTCGATAACAGGAAGGTAAGCTTTGATGTTGTATAGCGGAGTACCAGGCCTCTGCATCTCCTCAAAGACATGTCCACGCTTCTGGTTAAGGACACTGTAAATACCACCAAGTGCCTGCTCAGGGGCTTGGATCTCAACCATGTAAACAGGTTCAAGAAGCCTTGGTTTGGCCGTGAGCTGAGAAGCATAGAAAACCCTCCTAGCAGTTGGAATGATCTGACCACCACCTCTATGGATAGCATCAGCATGAAGAACCACATCACACACTTCAAAGCATATGCCCCTCATGTTCTCTTCAGATAACGCACCTTCTTTTGATGCCCACTGGAATCCAGCAACTACAGAATCCTTTATTTCATTCAGGTACTGAACTCCTTTACACATATCAACCACCATGTTAGGACCAGTGGTCTCGGGCCCAAAACACCATATCTTCTTAGCAAGATCTTTGTCCCAACCATACTCCTCGGCCAAAATTTTAGAACGATTCTTGGGATCATCTCTTGGACCAATTCTCCCTTCATCAATTGCCTCAGCCAGACCTTCTTCCAGAGGTCGAGCTTCCATGTACAAACGGTTGTGCTTGTTTGGAGACTTGCTCATTACTGTCCTACATGACCTCTCAAGGACGGTCTCACGGAATGACACAACAGGATCCGACTTAATGATCTCAGCACCACCCATAAAATCTTCTTGCAAATCTTTGAGACAGATCTCAAGGTGGAGTTCTCCAGCACCTGCAACAATGTGCTCTCCTGACTCTTCCATGGTACACAGAACCATAGGATCAGACTTGGCCAAACGCTTCAGCCCTTCAACAAGTTTGGGAAGATCAGACGCAACCTTGCACTGAACAGCAACACGAACAACAGGAGAGACAGAGAACTTCATGGCACGAATTGGGTGAGCATCAACTTCCTTCTCATTAGTCAAGGTAGCATTCTTGGTGATGAACTGATCCAACCCAACCATGGCCACTGTGTTACCACAGGGAACATCCTCGACAGTTTCCTGCTTCTTTCCCATCCAAATAACAGTTCTCTGTACACTCTTAACATACAAATCTTTCTTCTCACCAGGGACATAGTTTGGACCCATGATCCTGACCTTCAAACCAGTTGAAACTTTGCCCGAGAAGACACGGCCAAAGGCGAAGAACCTACCTTTATCAGAAGCGGGAATCATCTTTGAAACATAAAGCATAAGAGGACCCTCAGGATCACAGTTCCTGATAGCATTGGCATATATATCATCAAGTGGACCCTCATACAAGTTCTCAACACGATATTTCTGAGCCTTGCTTGGAGATGGAAGGTGAAAGATCATCATTTCCAGGAGAGCACTGCTTGCCGGAAGCCAAGTTTGCATTACACGCTTCATTAGGGCCTTCCCCATCAAGTCCTTCTCATCAGACTTCATGGTGACATTAAGCTTTTGCAACATGGGCCAGAGCTTATCTTTCTGGTCATTCATACAAGTGTTGATTATCTGCTTGATAGGTTCATAACAGAACTGAACAAACCCACGCTTGCAGGTAGAAGTGCCAGTGTTCTTGGTGGTCCACTTCTTGGTAGCTGGATCAAAAAAGTTCTCACCCCAAAGTCTTTCCATCATTTTTGACTCATCGACTCCAAACTTTGAGGCATACATTTTAGCAAAGTTGGTCAAGGTAAAAGCCCAACCATGCAAACCAGCAGAGAAAGCAACTGTTCCCTTCTCCGGGTAGACTTGAACATCACCAAGAAGAGGATCTTCATAGGTGGCCATAATGACATTAGCATTTTCAATCACTCTTTGGAATGTCTGGTAAGCCTCCTCTCCGTCAACCTGGAGCTCAAGGAAGCACCTGTCCATCTTGTTAACAGTCAAGACAGGCCTGATTCTTTCTCCAAGAGCCTGACGGAGGACAGTCTCTGTTTGCACACAGACACCTTCAATACAGTCAACAACCACAAGGGCACCATCAGTAATACGAAGAGCAGCTGTGACCTCAGATGAAAAGTCAACATGCCCAGGGGAATCAATAAGATTGATGAGGTACTCATTCCCTTTTCTCTCTCCTTTGTAGCTCTTCAAAGAGTCATCGGACATTTCATAATACAGAGAGATACCAGTAGATTTGATGGTGATACCACGCTCAGCTTCATCAGCACGGGTATCTGTCATACGAACATCACCAGCAACTTCTTGTGCAATGATACCAGCAGCAGCCACAAGAGAATCCGTAAGAGTCGATTTCCCTGCATATCACAGAAACCCTAATCAGAGATGAAGCCAACAAAATCAACAATTCACAACAGCAGAATGACTCATTAAAATTTTCACTCATCAAGATCCAAAACCTTTTTATCGTGACAAGCTAAACTAAAATTCAATTTGTAACTAATCTAGCATAACTTTAATACAAGCTATATGCTCATATAATACTATCATCATCTTTCAAGCAGTGACAATTCGACATAAACAGCATAATCATAGTACAAATTTACTCAAACAAGTTTGATATTTGACATCAGATTCTGTGAAAACAAACATGAATTTAAACGCATACCATGATCAACATGGGCAATAACAGACATATTACGGATGTTGTGCTTGCGGTCCATGATAGCACGAAGCTCCTCAGCTGTAAACTTCACCTGTAACACATCCAACATATATCAATTAAAAAACAGTAACAGTAAAACTTAAACTAAATACAAAACAGAAAACCACCAAAAGAAGAAACGAATAATATATTCTCTGGACTCACCATCTTGACTGGTCTTTAAATCACACTGAACAATCGAAACCTGTCCAGCAAACAAAAAACCAGAGCTCTTAATCTTCAAAGTAGATTAACAACAAGCAAAGTAACATCGAATCAGAACAAACTCAAAAACCCAAAGTTCATCCAACGAAACAATATTTCAAGATCTGAATTCATATTAGCTGAATGTAATCAATACCCAGAAAATATATATAAATATATAAACAAAGACCATACTATACAAGTATAACCCTTAATATCCTAAAAGCTATGTGACTGCATAATCTACTAGTAAACAGATTCAATATGAAAATCAAAACATGATCTTAACATTAAAAACCAAGAATAAATGCATAGATAGGGATCTAAATGGAGTGTACTAGAGAAATGGCTTAATGTCAAAGAAGGGGGCAGGAGCAAACCTTAAACGATAGGCGGCGAGAGAAGGGAAAGAGACGAAGATTGTAAGGGAAAACCCACTTTCACTTGAATGAGAGACAGACGAAGGATTGGACTTATTTTATATGCCGACGAAATGCGTTTGAGACTGCATGTGGGAGGCGGCCTCAGCTAGGGTTATCTTCGACTTTCGGGGGCTTTAGATATTTTCAATATATTTCTGGGAAAATTTTATAAATAGTCATCCAACTACAGAAACAATTTAATTAGCTCATCTTATAAAGATTTATAAAATATCATTAATTTTAGCGATGGTTCATTATATTTTAT